GGGAGGTTTTCTTGCTGTCTTCTGTTCCTGGGTGGGATGGCAGAACTGGGTGAGCCAGATTACAGGTCTGGGTGGTGCCTGTAATCCCAGCTACTCATGAGGCTGAGACAGGACAATCATTAGAACTTGGGAGGCTGAGGCAGGACAATCATTTCAGCTAAGATTGTGCCACTGTACTCCAGCCTGGGTAACAGAGAAGACTCCCTCTTAAAAAAAAAAAAAAAAAAAAAGAAGGTCTCACAATAGTCTGCAGTGATAAAGATAAAAAGTGACTCCCTCTTAAAAAAAAAAAAAAAAAAAGAATCATTACTGACACTTGTTTGAATTTGGAGGAAAGGAAAGAAAACAATATAAGACAAAACACTGTGGCAGGAAGATACTAAATTATAAACAAGGCCTAAGTCCATTGCAAGGTAGGGGTTAAGTCACCCCTTACAAACCATGAAATCCTCATTTAAATGGGTTTTTAACTCGGAATAATGTGGCTTACCTTCCAACCTGACTCTCACAAGGCATCGCATGACTGACAGCAGACCACCTCCCACCTTATCAGAACTTAAGCATTCCTTTCTACTGACTTCAAGTCTTTAGACGAAGCTTAACTCTTTCAACCAACTACCAACTAAAGCATCCCTAAAACCACCTATGACTTGTAATCCGCAGCTATGAAATGTCCCGCCTTTTCAGACCAAACTAATGTATATCTTCCGTGTATTGATATGACTTTATCAGCAATTCCTGCCTCCTAAAACATATAAAACCAAACTGTGGGCCAGGCATGGTGGCTTATGCCTATAATACCAGCACTTTGGGAGGCCAAGGTGGGCGGATCGCTTGAGCCCAGGAGTTCAAGATCAGCCTGGGCAACATGGTGAAACTGCATCTCTACAAAAATACAAAAGCTAGCCGGTCATGGTGGTGCACACCTACAGTCCCAGCTACTTGAGAGGCTAAGATTGGAGGATCACCTGAGCCCGGGAAGTGGAGGCTACGATGAGCAGTGGTCACGTCACTGCACTCCTGCCTCAGCCTCCCAAGTAGCTGGGATTACAGGCATATGCCACCATGCTTGCTAATTTTTGTATTTTTAGTAGAGACAGGGTTTCACCATGTTGGCCAGCCTGGTGTTGATCTCCTGGCCTCAAGTGATCCACTTGCCTCGGCCTCCCAAAGTGCTGGGATTACAGGCGTGAGCCACTGTGCCTGGCCAATGATCTGTCTTTTAACCTTCATACTGGTCAGTTGTGCCTAAACTCCAAAAGCAAGGCGGTGCAATGGGGCGAGTCCAACCTCCCTTCTCATCATGGCCGAGAACTTGGTTTTTCAGGTTTCACTGGGGTCTCCTTGGCCAAAAGGTAGTCCATTCAGTCAGCTGGGGGGCTTAGCGTTTTATTTTTAATTTACAGTACTAGTATATGAAAGTATTCCATCACCTTTGTGTATATAAAGACAAGGCTTGAAAAAACAATGATGGAACCTGATTTCTAAAAATATATCAGGCAGATTTTACATTTTACTGTTTTTCTTACCCTCCCTCTTTTACTTTTTTTCTTTCTCCCCTCCTGTCAGTGTGCATAGATTTTACATTTTACATTTGCAAAACCATACCAGAAGATATGGTATCCAATGCAACGTCTCTGGGTAGGTGGAGGAATGGCTGATCTCCTCGTCTTTGCTCTGCACATGGGAAGATAAGCTTGTAATGAATATTATTGATCAGTGTGCAATTCAATGGACTTTAGTTTTGGGAGCTAGACTTGGATTGCAGACCTGAAGTTACAATTGGCTCGTCCTTGTTTATGGGAGGTCAGCAAAGCATTTGAAATCACCTTGGCAAAAATTGTAACTGAGGAAATTATGACAGTGAAACAGATCAGACCCAATCTTGCTTCTAACCTTTAAACTGTCCTTGTTCATTCCTGGGCATAGGTCGAACTAACCTTGGGAAGTAATTTATAGTTTGACTCTGAAACACAATTGATAATAGCCCTTTCCCAACAGTTATGAAGCGTCCAAAGGTTTCCTTCTGTTTCTATTTCGCTAAGTGAAAATGGATTTAAGTCACAGCCTGAGATTTTTCTTATTTGAAAACACTACTGACGCAAGGCTGAACACAGCAATGAGTGTGTTCTGGCTGGGTGAGGTGGCTCATGCCTGTAATTCCAGCACTTTGGGAGGCTGAGCCGGGTGGATCATAAGGTCAGAAGTTCGAGACCAGCCTGGCCAACATGGTGAAATCCTCGTCTCTACTAAAAATACAAAAATCAGCCAGGCATGGTGGTGCACGCCTGTAATCCCAGCTACTCGGGAGGCTGAGGCAGGAGGATCACTTGAACCGGGGAGGTGGAGGTTGCAGTGAGCCAAGATCACGCCACTGCACTCCTGCTTGGGTGAGTGCAAGACTCCGTCTCAAAAAAATAAAATATACAGTCCATCTCCAAAGATTTTGGAAGCATGGACCATTTTGTTGGGACAATGCAGGGTGCCCTACGGCAGTACAGCCAATACAAGACCATCCCAAATGAATTGTTTTGCATTACCACAAGCCAGGAAACATTTGTCTTTAATCAAACCTAAGGCAAGTCACTACTCTTGGGAATTCAAGTGTGCGGCAAATGTGTAGATACTGGCACCTGAATCAGTGTCTGTCGTCCATACCCACAGCATCTCCATAGGACCAACCCCAGCAAACAGGAAGGTCTCCCGCACAGATTTCTCTACTTTTCATTTACAATATGCAGTCTGGATTCCCATTGTCAAACAATTCTGTTGGGAAATCCTTTCTGCTTGAGCTTATTACCTTGAGGTCTCTGAATGAGAGAGCAAATTTAACAGGTCTCTCTGGAACCTAGACTTTGTGTTTAAATCCCCTCAGTGCCTGTGGTGGTGCATTTATTCCTTAAAGTCTGTCACATTTTTCAATGGCTCTGAGAGTTGCACATGAACTGTACACTACAAGTCATCATCATTCTCCTAGGTGCTCTGATGCCTGATCAACTCAAACGCCTCTCTCTTTGAGCTGTGTGTATCAGCAAGGGCTGTTAATGGACAGGGTGTTTTTGCAGTTCATTAACCTGATGACCACCAATCTCAGGCTTGAGGATGAGTCAGGCACATGGATTTCTAGGCAAAGAAGGAATCATCCGGACTCTAAGAATCACTAGTTTCCTGCATGGAGACAGGAACGGGAGAGTAGGAAAGTCTAACACAGCAGGCATCTCTCATCCAATCACAGCATCGTCCTAGCTGTGTCCTCCTGAGCTATCCCTAGCCCTGGCTCAGCATTTCCATCCACCTGTGAAGGATTCCCCACCACACCCTATTTAAGGACAGGTACTTTTTTGTAAGATACAATAAAAATTACTAAAAAAGGAGAACAGGGAATAGCAGACACACAAAACACAAAGCCAAATGTTTATTACATCCGATAGACATAAAATTACTCTGTCAAATTGCTATAAAAGGTTTTAAATGCCAAGTCAATTTTTAAATACCTATTTCACTACAGACAGCCAAGAGTATAACTTGCTTCAGTCCATGGGTCTATCTGAGTAGCCTGGAACTGCAGGCCAAAGCACTGGCCTCAGAAGGCTAAATAGGCTATTGGACTTGACGTTCCATGAGAATTCACACAACCCTCTGCAGAACTTGCCCATCTCCAATCCCTCAAAGCTCTTCTTCACTGCTCTCCTGGGCACACCCATACCATCTTCTGTAACTACGGGTCTGTCTTCACAGCAGACTAACATTCTTGAAGCTAGGGACTATGATCTTCTTCACCTTTAGATTCAGTGCCTAACTATATCTGATACTGAGTTTTTGTTCAACAACAAAAAAATCTGTCAGTTAAGGATACCAGCAGCGCTTTGCTTTCACTTTTATTTACTTTTTTTGTTGGTTTATTATTTTTAAAATTGGGTTTATCTCAACCCAGAAAATAAGAAATAATTTACACACTGTACTGACATTATTTCACCTGCAAACCAACCTCTCCAATTCAGTTCAAATTCAAGTATTCTCATGTCTTTTCTACTATTCCAGTTGTATTTCACAAAACATGTAAATCATATGGCTATGTCAAGCCATAATCAGGTTTATACAGGGTAAACTAACACCTGCAAAGAACAGAAAGGGTTTGCTGGACTATGACATACCACAGAATGGCTTAAGATTTGATACATTTTAGCGGTACTAATTCTTGGGAAACATCTGTTCATGTAAACCCCAGCAAGGGCTAGTCATCAAGTGCTAGCAATGGGAGGGCAAATGGTGAGGGGTTAAGTGATGTAGTCATTTGAAAATGTCTATAAATTCTCCCTTCAAGAGGTGGAGCTTAATTCTCTCTACCCTTGAATATAGGCTAGACTTAGTGACTCCCCACTAACAGAATAAGGCAAAACTGAGAGTGTCACTTCCACAGGGAGGCCATTGAAAGGCACTGTGGTTTCCTTCTTGCTTTCGTACTCAGCCACCATGCTGTGAGGACACTCTATGGAAGGGCCCTCAAGGAGAGGAACTGGGGCCTCTGCCTAACAGCCAGGTCAGTAAGCAGAGAAGTCAGCCCCAAAGTGTCAGATGACTGCAGCCCCAACCAGTATCTTGCTTGCAACCTTATACTCTTTGCCTTATACTCTTCGCCAGGACCACCAGCTAAGCTGCTCCCAAATTCCTGATCCAGAGACCTGTGAGATAAATATTTGCTGTTTTAAGACATTAAGTTTTGGGATGGTTTATTATATAGTAGGTAACTAGTATTGCTGGTGAGCCTTTGGGGGGTTTATGTGAATTCATCATGCCTTGGGAAAAGCAGGGTAAAGTTGAGGAAAGAAAAGGGGTATAAATGACTAAAAGAGTAGATGCTGCCTTGTTCAACAAGTGCTTAAAACCAGAGTTAAGTGAGCTCTGTGAATATATGAGAATGACTATTAAACTCTATAGCCACTCTATTAGTTCTTTTTATCAATTAAAGATAGTATGAAAAGAGAAAAAAAGCTCCAAAATTGTTAATAGCAACTTTATTGTTTCACTGGTGCAAAAAAAAAAAAAAAAAAAAAAAAAGGAAGGAAAAAATCATAATTGTGATGCATTTCCTGCTAAATTTACAATGAAGGTGATACATAAATTATATAGATCACAAATTTTCTTTTATACTATTTAAAACCGAATTATATTGATAAATATGTCCAGAGGACAACACAAGTTCTTAATGGATGGCTGAGTCCAAATATGCAAAATATAACTTCTCGTTTTGACCATGGTGTTTTAAAATTCTCAAACATGCATTAATATATTCTAGTTTTAGGGAAAATCTTACACATGGCCTTATCTTGCAATTTAGGGAAAAGCCCAAGCTGAATTTCACATACAGTATTCCTTTCTTCTAAATTAATCTCAAATTGGACTAAAGAACAAAAGAGACAGACACTTTTGGGTTAGTACTCCCCAATAATGAAGAAAATACACAATCAACAATGAAACAAACAAACAAAAAAAGGAGGAGAGCTTCATTAGTAGCCAAGATAAGTGCTTGTGGGTTTTTTTTTTTTTTTTACAGATCACAGGAATTTTAAATAGCAGATCAGTCATGCTACTTGGGGTGATCAGACAGACTTGAACACTTACCAAGTGAATAATTTTATTAAGGTCCTGAAGGTGAGTGTCCGGAGGTGCTGGGTAAAACACATCACAGGTAAGAAACGGGAAACCTACCTCAGCATTTCTGAAAGGCACAATCTATGGAAGGAAAACCTAGCATAATAAAACCCTCACTGCATGTACATGGAAAGGAGTATGGTGAGCTGTTTCCTTTTTAAAGGATGAGACCTTCATAAATTGGCCCCTCAGATTCTGGTGATTCCCGCCGCAAGCGCAAATGCTCCAGTGTGTTATGAAAATGTTTGTTAATCTGCTCTGTTTCTTCACTGGATTCAAGATTCGGGAGGTCTTCTCGAATCTTTTGGATAAGCTGGTTTAAAACCTGAATTGTTACCTACAAAAGAATATGTACAAATTCATGATCAAGCACATACCACAAAAAATGAAAGACAATTTATTTTTATTTATTTTTTTGAGATGGAATCTCACTCTGTCGCCCAGGCTGGAGTGCAGTGGCGAGATCCCGGCTCACTGCAACCTCCGCCTCCCGGGTTCAAGCGATTCTCCTGCCTCAGCCTCCCCAGTAGCTGGGATTACAGGCGTGTATCACCAGGCCCAGCTAAACACAATTTAATAAAATTGCTCTGAGGAGCTTCTGCTACTCTCATCAATTACCTAAGTAATTATGAAAAAAGAAAGATGGGGATACGATTCCTAGTTTGAAAATCTACTGACTATCAAAAAAACCCAAACAACCCTTTAAAACAAGCAAAATTGGCCCCAGTGCTGTGGCTCATCCCTATACTCCCAGCACTTTGGGAGGCTGCGGCGGGCAGATCACTTAAAGTCAGGAGTTTTAAGACCAGCCAGGTCAACATGGTGAAACCCCATCTCTACTAAAAATACAAAAATTAGCTGGGTGTGGTGCTGGGCACCTATAATACCAGCTACTCAGGAGACAGAGGCATGAGAATTGCTTGAACCCAGGAGGCAGAGGTTGCACAGAGCTGAGATTGTGCCACTGCACTCCAGCCTGGGTGACAGAACGAGACTGAAAAAAAGAAAAAAAGGAAAATTTTATTTAACTTACAAATCGTGACCAAAACTGTATTGCTAAAAGGATACTGCATTTAGGAATTATCTTTTTTTTTTTTTTGAGACAGAATCTTGCTCTGTCGCCCAGGCTGGAGTGCAGTGGCATGATCTCAGCTCACTGCAAGCTCCACCTCCTGGGTTCATACCATTCTCCTGCCTCAGCCTCCCGAGTAGCTGGGACCACAGGCACCCGCCACCACGCCTGGCTAATTTTTTGTATTTTTAGTAGAGACAGGGTTTCACCATGTTAGCCAGGATGGTCTCCATCTCCTGACCTTGTGATCTGCCCACCTCAGCCTCTCAGAGTGCTGGGATTACAGGCGTAAGCCACTGCGCCCGGCCTTTTTTTTTTTTTTTTTTTGAGACAGAGTTTTGCTCTTGTTGCCCAGGCTGGAGTGCAATGGCACAATCGTGGCTCACTGCAGCCTCCACCTTCTGGGTTCAAGCGATTCTCCTGCCTTAGCCTCCCGAATAGCTGGGATTACAGGCACCTGCTACCATGCCCAGCTAATTTTTGTATTTTTAGTAGAGATGGGGTTTCACCATGTTGGCCACGCTGGTTTTGAACTCCTGACCTCAGGTGATCTGCCTGCCTTGGTCTCCCAAAGTGCTGGGATTACAGGCGTGAGCCACTGTGCCCGGCCTAGGAATTGTCTTAAACTAGAACATTATGACAAATTAGGCTATTACTTGACATCTGTAAATTATTTTATATTTTTCAAATGAACAGTGATTAAAGTATCAGAATGATAAACTTTTGTACATATCAAATTTCCTGAGTAGGAAGGGAAAATGTTAGTTTATTAACAACACTTTACTAATTCACTTACCGCATCATTTTCCTTTTCATAAAAATAGATATATCTGTTCAGAATTTCTATAAAAAGCTGCACTTGTAGAGAGGGGTCCATGCACTGATTTGCTATTTTTAGAGCTTTCTTTAGGCACTCCATTACCCTCTTGCCTCCGTGAAGCTAAAATAAAAGGGCAGGGGGACAATGAAGAGATTAACGAAACGTCCCGTTTTCATACAAAGAAACACAACACTACCGTGCTCTTTCGTATTCTAAAGGGACACAACAAATTTAAATCCTTTTCATTCTCCTTCTTCTTTTGAAGTATACAGCTGTATTTTTTTAAAAACAGGTAGTGGTTTGAACTTGCTATGTTACAATATCCTCAAAGCAGAGGCTTCACTACAGGATGAGACTCTTTTTTAACAAAACAAAGCAATTCTCTTCATCAGATTTCCAAGCACCCCAAATGTTTCACCTCCAGAACACAAGGCCATGGCAACCAATCCCTGTTATCGATCCTGTCTGCTATCATGCAGTCAGGAATGACCTTACCTCCTCCCCATTTTTGTCCGTGTTTCTGCCAGACCAGAAGAGATGTGCACAGGTGCTCACAGCTCGGCCCTGATCGGGTTTCTTCAGAAGTTTGGATGCAGCAAGGGCACACTGAGTCCTCAGAGGTTCGTGATTCTCTTCACTGAAGCACTTCATCCTTTCAAAAGTGCCAATGATCAAGGTGATGGCAGCTAACTGTGCTTTGGAATCGCTGATTTCATCTTCATACAGAGAAAAGGCCTAGTGAACACAAAGCAGAAAGGACTTTCAAGAACCAACCATCCTCTAGTTGAGCATTTTCCAAAGTACTTCTCACCGAACCTCCATCCTGTGAGACTTCTGCAGCCTTCAAATCAGAAAATGCTGCACCCTCTCGAGAGCCACAGGACACAGCTGAGATGGTAAAAATGCTAAAAAGTTGCAATAAAGAAACTTCTTTCAACTTTGTTTAACCCGGGTTCCCAAACTGAATTTTGGGAATGGAATGCATTTCCCAAATTTCATGTTCCATGGAACACTTTTACCATGACCCACTTGGAAATCTTAGATTTCATCAGCAAATGATCAATACCAGTCAATTATGACAATAATATTAAGAGGTTCCATGATGGTGGGAAGGTGGTAGTTACATATTCAGTAAAAGAAGAGTAAATTCATGTCATTACCACCATGCCTGCAAACAAGCAACTGAACTCAGTAGAGCTGACATGACAACACAGAAAGAACAGATCATCACCTGGGACATGAATTCATATGCGACTGTTTCATGATTTTCAAAACCAATTTCCCCAGCAGCTAGTGCTCCTTGAAGAAAAAGTCTTAAGGGCAATTCTGCCAGCTCTGCTTTGATCAAAGCACTGATAGTCTGGTGGGCAAATGAAAAAATCTTCTGGCATTTCTTTTCCCATTTGTCATCCTAAAACAAGAAAAAACATTTTAAGTTACCTTAAGTTCAAAATTAACTTGTTCCATGATTCCATTTTATTTAAAACTTTTAATAGAACAAAATAGTGAACACGGTAAGTTGAGCGCAGTTTTCCTGTCATTTTCCTTCTCTGTTTCAGTTATAGGGCACACAAGTAAATCAAGCAGGATGTCTTCTCAAAACATCATTTGAAGTTAAACTGCCTTTGCAATGTTAACGTATTTGATATTTGTTTTTTCTTTTTGAGACAGTTTTGCTCTTGTTGCCCAGGCTAGAGT